AGGAATGTTGTTAATATTTTTGCCAGATATTATGCATTATTCAGACATTTTAATTTTTTATAGTGATAGAAATATGAGATACAGCAGCTGTGTTTTTATCTCTTTTCCAAAGGTGAGAACTGAAGAAGCAGTTAACCAGACACTGAACAGAAACTCTGAACTGTCAGGAAGCATTTCTCAAAACTCTGATAAGATGTGCAAGTCTGTGTCAAAAGACCATGGTGAGTGGTGTTTTTAACTGAAGGTCAGATGGGATAAATTGTAGGTCTGGGTTGACAAAATCCATAACCCAGGGTTAAAAGCATCGCTTAACCCTCTTTCAGAATTATAAGAGTGAAACATTCCATTTGCCAGTGATAAAAGAAGCCTTGGCCTATTAAGACCATAACCCAGCGTTAAGTGTGGCATGAAAAGCCCTACAGTTGGAAAAGAGAGATTTTTTTAACACATTGTTTAATTAAACGTTCAGAAAGTAGATTAATTAAATCATTTTGAAACCTAGTTCCCCTGGTACGTTTCTCTTGCTTTTTAAAGTCTATCACGAAGCATGTGTCTGATGAAATTCTTCCCATCTCTTCCAAATCAGAAAGTTTAACTTTCCATCAGAAATTACTTTCTCTTTCTCTACATCTTCATTAAAATTCATTGTGTGCTTGGCGCTCCAGTGCCTCTTTCTCCATGGTTTAACAAACAACAGATCCCAGAGCGAGGTACCATGAGTATTACAGTGCACGAAAAACTCAGTGATAGAAAAAAAACAATGTTCCATTATAATTTGAAAGTCAAATGATTCCTAGAAGTTTTAATGATGTTCCACCATACAGATTTATCAGAGCAGAAGTTGCCTGCCTTTATGAACAAATGATAAGGAAAGTAAGAAATGGGTGGTTATTTTCATCCCTTGTTGAAGGCAGGACCTCAGAACCCAAGCCTGTGAATGTTTTCCACAAATATGATGCTATTTCTAGATGTATCCAGATCCCACATTTATCCCGATAAGGGACAACCTACTGTAGTGTGTACTCATGAATAAGGACTATATGAGCTCCACTGTCAACAGATAGAAGAGGGAAAAAACTTTTCTTGGAATATATTTACAATGTGAAAAATAGATGCTAATCCTAAATTACATGTTGTTGGTATATTATATTTAATATTTATTCAGCAAGGATGCATTAAATTACAATATCTATTTCAAGTAAATTATATTATTTTGAACTTTCTACTGATCAAAGAATCCTAAAATAAAGGTATCACAGTTTCTACAAAAATATTAAGGAGCATAACTATTTTCAACATTGGATGATGATGATGTTTTCTTGAGCAGCAAATCAGCATATTAGAATGATTTCTAAAGAATCATGTGACACTGACGCCTGGAGTAATGATGCTGAAAATTCAGAAAATTCAAGTCTGTCAGTTGATTCACACTGAAGGCAGATATGGGTCACTAACAAACAAGAATTTAAATAGTGGATAGTTAAAAAAAAAAACTGATCTGAGAAAAAAAAATCTGAAATGAACATTAAAGCCTGTAATATGAAAGTAGTCAGAGAATCCCAGGTGGCCGACTTATCATTAAACCCGCAGTTTATTAGAATGTTACTTTTACCATCAGAACTTTGTCGAGTGAAGACTTCTGCATTGCCATAAGGGAGGCACAGGGGAAAACTGACTCTAGTAATTGGTGGTCCACTTGAATCATTGGTCTTTGAAGCAAGCAACAGCTGGTCACCAGGCTGAATAAAGGCAATAGACACATAGCAACGATAAAACATCAAAGGCAGCATGTGCTTACATAGGGAAAAAATGTACTGTAAGCTGTCATTTGCTATCCAGATGCACACCAGAGCGCTGGAAATCTCCAAGTCTGTCTGCTCTGGCCTGTGCACTGCTGAAAAACACTGAACATCTAGTTACCTGTCAACAGAAATTAAATTACAGGAACACTTGTTGTTAGAGAACTGTGTAAAATAAACACTTGTTAAAGGGAAGGAGACACTTGTTAAATTGCACAACATAAACACACAGGACAGTCAGGGTTTAAAAGCTTTTTGCTAATTGGGCGAGCAGCGTGACTTTGGTTTTATTTCTGGAATACACCAACTGTTTTCGATTATTCGATTATAAAGTCAAAGCCTCATGCTGATTTAAGAGCATTCACAATGTCTGTCTATTCTGACAGTGAGGGAATAAAGGAATGGAATAGCAAAAAAGAATAAAATGTATTGTTCGCCCCAAAAAAAATGTCATTGTCAAAATGTCATGTCATTCCAAACCTGTATAACTTTATTTCTTTGTGGCACAGAAAAAGGAGAATTTTAATGGTCACAAATTGCCTCCGGAGGTCCATTCTCCATATTCCAAGTCTTCTAGAACTTAAAAAAAAACTTTTTTGAACTGGTTTAACTTATTCATTTAAAAGATCTGACTCGAAAGAAAGATTTTTTTCACAGATTGGACATCTCTACTTCTCTCCTGAAAACACCAACGTTCGGCGTAAATATTTTCAGACAATAATAGTAATATCTTTCATTTCAGTCTGTTAACTTAGTATTATTATTTGTTAATTTCGGATATGTTATTAATTATTTTAATTTCAGTTTTAATTTCAATTACTGGATACAAATTTTAATAGTTTTTGGTAACACTGGTCTGTTCCTCACACAAAGCTCTCATATGACAAAATATTCATACACATTGTATGAATTTTGTATGATTTATTTATTAATTTCTTTTTTATCTTGCTTTTGATGTTCCAAAATAAAAAACTTTTTTGAACTGGTTTAACTTATTCATTTAAAAGATCTGACTCGAAAGAAAGATTTTTTTCACAGATTGGACATCTCTACTTCTCTCCTGAAAACACCAACGTTCGGCGTAAATATTTTCAGACAATAATAGTAATATCTTTCATTTCAGTCTGTTAACTTAGTATTATTATTTGTTAATTTCGGATATGTTATTAATTATTTTAATTTCAGTTTTAATTTCAATTACTGGATACAAATTTTAATAGTTTTTGGTAACACTGGTCTGTTCCTCACACAAAGCTCTCATATGACAAAATATTCATACACATTGTATGAATTTTGTATGATTTATTTATTTTTTTATTTTTTTATCTTGCTTTTGATGTTCCAAAATAAAAAGTAAGTCATATGCATTTGGAACAACATGAGGATGAGTAAATGATGAATTAATCATTTAATGCTCAACATTGCAGTCACTTGCTATGTATTCCAGGATAATGACGTGCACTCAAGATTAAAACATTTGCGAGGCGCTATAAGATAAATCCTCTGCTATGGCAAACAGTCCTTTATGCGCCATGTTTAGAAAGTTAGCCTCAATTCAATTCATGCCAGACAATAATAGCTTAAAGTGTGAGGAACGTAGCCGGAATTTCACAGTCGAATGGAATGAAATAGAGCACTGAAGCCTGTTTTGACAAGAGCAGGGACCTAATCAGTGGCTCTTGTAGTATCTAAAAGTTCATTGCTCCACATGTTGTATGGCTCCTATAAAACATCTGACAGGCTGCTTTGGAGCGAACAGAAGAATAACAGCAACTACTGTGAGGATAAAATAGATAATAAATAGCATATCAAACCAATCCAGTTCACTCTTTGTGACATTATGAGACCAATGAATGTCCTCCATGGACTCACAGACCACATGCTCCATAGAGGGATGTGTAACTTACGAAAGGTGATTCAGCCGATAATTCTGCCCTCATTTCAACTACACAAAAGCCACCCTTTGGAAAAGATAATGAATCTTCTCTGGAGAGTAGTCAGTCTGCCCTCTTTGCCCTTTCTGATCCAAATAGCACATCCATATTTAAGTTGACAGCCCAGGTGGCAGACTAGCACTTTATAGAATTTTCATGTAATAGAAGAGATCTGAGGTCATTCTCCGCTGCTGCTTTCTCTCTAATATCTAACACACTTGTTCTCAAATTTCTCTTTCTGCTTTCTAGATTACGGTACTATTAAGAAGGTGCTCTCTCCGCTGAACCAGACCACGGGCAGCTGTTTGCTGGATGAGATTGAGCTTTTCCCCCCAAAGAAGAGGCAGCCAATCCACAGCATGCTCATACTTCACAGCCGCAGTGAGCTATTTGTGGGAGTCAGAGACCAGGTCATCAAAATCCCCCTGATGCGCTGCAACTTCCACAAGTCTAGAGAGTGAGTACTGCTGCTTCTCAGTAGATAAATGTACAACATCTCAAGGTAGAAATTCATAACTACTTCCCAAAAATGAAAATGTCATCATTTATTCACCATCATGTCAAAAAACTGAACACAAAAGGTGTTGTTTCTAGATTCTTAAAATAGATAGACCTTGTTAGCGCCAAATTTGACAGGAATGAAAACAAGGCTGTGAGGGATAGAAGTACAGTGCGTTCAATGGATTGTACTTTTGTTTAACAACATGCCGATTGTTTAGCTGAAGAAATGTATTTCTCAAAATATATCGGTTGTGACAATTATATGACCTTTATACAATTCGTTCCATTGTAAACACTCTAAGCCTCATCCATGTTAAATTCAATATGGTGTCTAACCTGATTAAGGTCTATAATGAACAGATTAAATGGACTTTTAGGATACTTTAGTTGTTGTTGTTGTTGTTGTTGTTGTTGTTGTTGTTGTTGTTTTGTCCTTTTTGGAGCTTGACACATCCTTCATCCATTTTCATTTTGTCAACCCTTTCATCAAAATATAATAACTTTCTGCACCTGACACATCTTTTCTTCTCTTTGTGTACAAAGGCTATGTGGCCGTGGGGGAATAAAAGTATTAACAAATAACAATGAATCCTATTTTTCACAGTCTGATCAACCCTTAAAGAGTACAATCAAATCCAAGGTTATATTTTGTAGCTTTTTTTTTTTTGGTCACTCTTTTCAATAAGATTTAATGTGTTAACTTTGTTAACAGTGGACCATATCTTTGGTCACACTTTATTTTAAGGTCCAATTCTCGCTATTAACAAACCATTAACTATGACTTTTGCCTCAATAAACTCCTAATTTGCAGTTTATTAATAGTAAGGTAGTTGTTAAGTTTAAATATCAGGTAGAATTAGGGATGTAGAATATGGTCATGCAGAATATGTGCTTTAGAAGTACTAATAAACAACCAATATGTTAATAATAGGCATGCTATTAAGCAACTAGTTAATAGTGAGAACTGGTCCCACTAAAGTGTCACCCTATCTTTTAATTATTAATTCATTTTTGTTCATAATTAATGTAAATTTATTGTATTTTCTTGCTGAAATATGTTGGTATATATAGAAATTAATTGTTAGTTCATTATACCTAATGCATTAACTAATGTTGACAAACAGAACCTTATTGTGAAGTGTTATCCATTCGTTTTCCTTGCAAATTTCATGTTTTATGTGACAAGTTAAATGCAAGTGTCATTTCATGATTGCTTTTAATAATACCAAAGTTTTGATTCCTGGCAAGATAAATGATACTACTAATCTTACGAGCACATACATGCCTGCAACCTAATTTTTTTTTTTTCACTGCACAAGAATGAACGTAATGTCACAAAGATCCTCTGCCAGAGGGCAACAAAGAACAATCATCATGTTTGACATTGTGCCTCCAGGCCTTCATATCAAGAGCACTTCTCTAATCTCTGCTCATAAGGGGAGATGGCAGCCTGTTCATCATCTCTCTCCATTTGCATTCCAATGAAAAGCGCTGAGTTATGAGAATATGAGTTGAGTTTTGCCTGATGAGCTTTTTCTATCCTCTTAAGTGGTTAGGAGAGGTCAATTACTCACACCTCTATACTTTCTGACACCAAAAAGGGGAACTAATGCAAATTTTGTTTGAATAAACAGCCACATGCCATAACAGGGCCGTTTTAAAGTGCCTGGTTTACACTGCTGATATTCACATTGCCGTGTCACTCCAAGCTTCACGGCACTGAACGCTTGGCTTCATCTTTCCATCCATGCTGATGACTGCTGTGATAGTCCTCAATGAGTTTGAAAAGCTATTCGGTGCATCTCAGGGCTGTTCTCTGTTTCTGATGAAAGTTATTACCCGCACTCAAGGGAAATACTGCCAGATTAAGTTATGCCAAAGCAAGCAATATTTATGATAAGAAGCATGTGTGCTCTTTAAGGTGTTTAACTTTTTAAAGGGCTCATATGATATGTTTTTACCATTCTATTTATTTCCCAGAGGTACACTTATAAAGTTATTCAACTTTTGTTCTATTTAGTGTCAGAATTTAATTTACATGATGATTTGTCAACCCTTCTTTGACTCTTAGAAGGGTATACCTTTAAGACTTCTGTGTAAATGCTCTTTCTGCATGTGAAATTGACAAGCTTCTCATTAACTCTTGCTATGCTTGCTCATGTCCTTCTTCAAAAGGAAGTGCAGAGCAGTAGGTGCTACACACAGCCTGGAACAGTGTGTTTTTAGTGGACTTTCACAATTTAATATTAATTATTTTTTATTGTATTTTATATACTTCTGCACAATGGGATTGGAATGTTTATGAACAATGGGATCTGTCTTATTTGTTTATGTTTCAGGTTTCTGATGTCAGAAAGAATTTCATAAGCCGTATTTGCGGTTTAGTGTCAATATATGATGTTTTTGGACTCGGAAGGAAGTTGTCAATTGTAAAACTTGTGAACAGTATGCTTTCATAAAAGAAAATTGGATTTCTCGTTACATGACCTCTTCACTTCTGCTCTTCTTTTGTCTCCTCTCAGTTGATTAATGTTGCCATAAACTTTTGTATCACGATGAGCATCTGTTCTTTCTCTCAGTGCCTGTGTGGGGGCCAGGGATCCGTACTGCGGCTGGGATCTGGTGCTCAAGAAATGCACCACCCTGGAAGAAAGTGTCAGCATGAGCCAATGGGAGCAGAGTATCACACGGTGTCCTGTGAGTATCCAGAATGCACTTGAATCATTCACGCAGTGCCTCAGCCCTCAAAGCCAAATGTTTTTTTTTTTCATATGAAGATTCTTGATGCTGATCCAGTCTGTCGGTGAAGAACAGTGACAAATGCGCCCGCTTCAACTGTAACTTGCAGGATCAACTTTTTTTCTCATAACAGCAGACACTCTTAGAAGTGTTTTATAACAGTGTTGAGGAAACATTGCAGGTGATGGACAGACAGTGCTGAGACAGTGCAGATCTGATGTATTGCTGCTTTTGCAGCAAAACAAACTTTTCCTCCTTCTGTACTCAAAAAGAGAATATAAGGCTAATAGTAAATAGCGCCTGTGTGCAAAGAATCAAAGCGCAGCAGAATTTGCCGTCAGCCATCTTTCTGTTGAATGGCATTCTCTGGTAACATGGCTTCATATTCCCACACTCCTTTGTGCTGACATGTGCCCCAGCCTGAGGCCTCCCAGCCTGTAGATCACTCCCAGAATCCTTTGTCCAATCCATCATGTCCCTCCCCTGTATAGTGGCTCTGAAAATATTTAGACACTTGCTCTTCACGAGGTTTCATGTTCTAAAGGTTACATGCAGTGTTCTATGAGATACCACAACTTTGAAAGCACAATCAACACACACACACATATTTGTGGACACACAGATACTATAAACTATATCAGGCATTGTGGCAGTCTCACAGGGTCTTTTGGTAAAAGACCTTGTAGCTTGTAGCTGTAGCTGAGAAATGACATTTTGTGTAATAGCAAGTTGCCTCCCACGCTGCCTGAAGAAAGCAGCATGGAATTGTTGAACACAAACAGGGAAGTGTAAAAGTGTGGGAGGCTTTGGTCTCAGAGTCACTAGAATGCAAGATTTCTATTGATTTAGTTTCACACATGTTGTTTACACATATTGGTTACACATTTTGAGGTCCAGATGTCCTTTGTTGTTGGAAGCAACAATCAAAAATGTGCCCCAAACATGTTAAGCTGTGGTGCTTGTGTGGAAGATGCAGATTTGTATCCTGCCTGCCTGCAAAATGTTACAATTTCATTCACCTTCTCTTACAAGGTCAATGACGTAATGCCTCTTTTTGTTTCCAAACCTTTTATTTCCCAAAAAATGCAATGACTGTTTTGTTGATTTGTTTTGTTGGAGTTTTTGTTCTGTTTTTTTGTTTTGTGATTTTGGTTTGGTTTTTTTGGGGGGTGGGGGGTTCTGTTTATTTGTTTGTTTGTTTGTTTGTTTTTCTCTTACAACGTCAATGACATGATGCCTCTTTTTATTTTTTATTATTGTCCAAACATGCAGTTACTTTTGTTTTGCTGTTTTTTGTTTGTTTGTTTGTTTGTTTGTTTAGTTTGTTTTTTTTCCGTTTTTTTGTTTAGTGATTTTTTTTGTTTGTTTTTGGGGGGTTTTTTGTTTGTTTGTTTGGTTGGTTGGTTGGTTTTTCCAATTTCATTCACCTTCTCTTACAATGTCAATGACGTCATTGACATTATGCCTCTATTTTGTGTCCAAACCTTTTATTTCCAATTATGAACCTTTTTTTTCAATTATTGCTTTGTTTTGTTTTTTGTTTTGTGATTTTGTTTTGTTTTGTTTTTTGGGGGGTTCTGTTGTTGTTGTTTGTTTTTTTTCAATTTCATTCACCTTCTCTTACAAGGTCAGTGATGTAAAGACTCTTTTTTTGTGCCCAACCCTTTTATTTCCCCAAACATGCAATGGCTGTTTTGTTTTTGTTTTCTTTTGTTTTGTTAAGGGTTTTATCTGTTTTTTTTGTTTTGTGATTTTGGTTTGTTTTTGGGGGGTTTCTGTTTGTTTGTTTGTTTGTTTGTTTGTTTGTTTTTGGCCGGAACTGTTACTGATATTAAATTTAAAAAGTAATAAACAATTCCATTAAAACAATGGAATGTTTTGATAGTTGAGTCAAATGTTGTTGTTGTTGTTGTTGTTATTATTATTATTATTATTATTATTATAGTTTCTTATGGTTTTAATGTTTTATAGTTCTAGTAAAACCCTTGAGTCAAAGTTAGGAATTTCTTAAATATATCAGATAAGTTAAGCTTCTTTTGATATAGCAAGATTAGTTCAGGTTGTCAGATGTGATATTCAATGTGATATTCAATATGATATTCATGTTTCAAAAAGATAAAATTACTGCATATATTATCCTGACATTGTCCTTGACATAGTCCATCTGTTCTTTAACCTGTTACTAACAACAACCATGAAAACCATTTTTAATCATCCTTTTTTTTTTTTTATAAAATACAATTCAATCACACACACACAAACTTTTTCTGTACCTGTACCACATTCACTACCATATCCTGGTCATTTGACATAGAGGATGGAAAGCTTGCAGTCATAGTGATGGCGGCAGTGTTGGTTCATGCCAGTGTCGTACTCGAGCATGTGACAGCCCGAGCCCTCAGTGTGGAGGGCAGCCGTGCCAAGGAATCAGTGTTGAGGTGGCTAACTGCTCCAGGTATGCAAATGTCCCACAAATGTATATACAGCACAAAGACTAAAGCACAAACAGGAAGCTACATATTTCACCTTTAGGCATGACAGAATTATATGGAAGCCAGTTTCCACCTCAAAGTAGAAAATATAAGGTGTTAGTGACTTTATGTATCACAATTGCAACATTATTTCTTGTAATTCTCAAAATATAACATTGTATCTCACAGATGTAACTTGGTTTCTCAGAACTGTGATTTTAAATCTGAGAATTGCAATTTAAAATATGACAATTGTAACTTCATGTCTCACAATTGTTATTTCTCATAAATGCAACTTTTATCTCATAAGATAAAACTACAGACTGACTATATTTTGCAAATGTGCATAGATTTTTTGTAATTGTTACTTTATGTCTCACAATTTCAAATTCATTTCACAGTTGTGATTTTATCTCTCATTGCAACTTTATTTCTTGTAATTGCAACTTTATATTTTTTTTTTTTTTTGCCTATTCGTCTGCAGGGTAAGAATGTGTCCAGGTGTCTGAGGTTGAGTGACAGATCTAAAATGACTTCAGTAGTAGAGCACAGTAAGGCTAGATGGAGACACACTTCATTCACAAAGCCCATCTGGAGGCTGACACGGTATGGATGTAAGCAAAGAACCACATTTGTTTTCTCTGGAAAAAAAAACGTTAACTTACTGTATCATCCCTATATTTAAAGCAATAGAGAGGCCTTTGAAAATGAGGTTTGTTTTTACTTTTCCACCACATTGGAAATGTGACTCTCTTATGCGTTCGGTATACAAAGAGCACAAACAATTTCTCTCCACACAGAGGCTCATTTATTCTTCTCTATTCATAATGCATTGACAATCATTTCCACAGAACTCATCGTGTTTTATGCGCTAGACAACGTTACCTTCTCCCTTTGTTCACAAAATATGTTGTCCTGTATCTGATACCTCAGATGTTAATAACCAGATAGCAATAACAAAATTACATTAGCTATTCATTACTACATTCTCATATAATTCCTCAAATGAAAATATTTGCTCATTGTGAAGCGTGTTCATTTTCCAAAGAGGAGGCCTGCTATTTTCAGCTATCACAAATCTAATATGCTGAAAGCTATATTTTAGTTTGGATTCATCTAATAACTGGCAAATGTGACCTTATCTGCAGTAATAATTTATTTGCATTCATATTTTGTTTACTTATTTCTGTGCCCATTTACTATTTATGTGCTCTCTTTCTGTTGTGTGTGGTTATGTATGTGTGTAGGTGAGGAATGTGACTGTGGATGGTCATTTTGGAGCCTGGTCAGGATGGAAAGCTTGCAGTCATAGTGATGGCGGCAGTGTTGGTTCATGCCAGTGTCGTACTCGAGCATGTGACAGCCCGAGCCCTCAGTGTGGAGGGCAGCCGTGCCAAGGAATCAGTGTTGAGGTGGCTAACTGCTCCAGGTATGCAAATGTCCCACAAATGTATATACAGCACAAAGACTAAAGCACAAACAGGAAGCTACATATTTCACCTTTAGGCATGACAGAATTATATGGAAGCCAGTTTCCACCTCAAAGTAGAAAATATAAGGTGTTAGTGACTTTATGTATCACAATTGCAACATTATTTCTTGTAATTCTCAAAATATAACATTGTATCTCACAGATGTAACTTGGTTTCTCAGAACTGTGATTTTAAATCTGAGAATTGCAATTTAAAATATGACAATTGTAACTTCATGTCTCACAATTGTTATTTCTCATAAATGCAACTTTTATCTCATAAGATAAAACTACAGACTGACTATATTTTGCAAATGTGCATAGATTTGTTGTAATTGTTACTTTATGTCTCACAATTTCAAATTCATTTCACAGTTGTGATTTTATCTCTCATTGCAACTTTATTTCTTGTAATTGCAACTTTATATCTCAAACAATCTGCAATCATACTTTGTCGCGTGATTGCAACTTGATTTTATGCAATTGTCATTATATCTGACAGATGTGATTTCATATAGCACAACTGTGACTATCACACAATTGAGCCTATATCACACAATTATTTTATATCTCATATTTGTTACTTTATATCTCGCAACTTGTAATTGCAAATTTATTTCCCACAATTATCATAATGTGAATTTTTCACTCACAATGTGACTTTAAATATCGCAATTGGAACTTGATTTCTCATAATCATCTTAAATCGGAGAATTGTGATTTCATATATGACAATTGCGACTTGATGTCTCACAACTGTTGCTTTTTTCTCATAATTATAACTTTGTATCCCACAATGTGACTATATTTCGCAATTGTGCCTTGAGTTTTTTGTAATTGTCATTCTATGTTTCACAAATTCAAACTCATATTTCACAGTTGTGATTTTATCTCTCATTTTAACTTTATATCTCGCAATTGCGACTTGATTTGTCATAATTTCATTTTAAATCCGACATTTGCAATTTCATATATCAGTTGTTACTTTATTTCTCATAATTGCAAAATTTCTTATATGCCACTTTATGTCTCACAATGTGACTTTTTTGTCTTGTAATTGTATGTGTGTATCTTCCTAAATTGCAAGTTTGTCGTAATGTAATTTTATATCTTGCCGTGTGACTGATTTTATCTGTAAATTTGATTTTTGTTATTTAATTTCCTGTTTTAGTCGTTACTATGAAGTGGAAACAAGCTTCCATACCATGCCACAAAACAGCAATTTTTCAGAAACAAAAGTTGCTGTGTGATTCTGAACTCATTTTCAAGACTAAATCATTTCATACAATTATGTTGTTTCCATTGTAAACAGGCTTAGAACAGTCTTAACTAAGATCCTCAGTTAACAAACTGAAGGTCAGATTATACCAGCCAGCTGTGCCAGTGTTTGATTAGTGATTTCTGCTGTAACATATCCATCCTCAGAAACGGGGCATGGACGCCATGGACGGCATGGGCTCCTTGCAGCACTAGCTGCGGGATCGGTTTCCAGGTCCGACAGCGTTCCTGCAGCAACCCCACTCCCCGCCATGGAGGACGCGTTTGTGTGGGCCAGAATCGTGAAGAGAGGTAAAGAAAAGCACAACAGCTCATTATATATTCAAATGTTTTTGTTTTTTTTGGAATTTACTCTCAAGATCCACAAAATCTAAGGGAGCACATGCCTGTTTGAAAGGGCATGATGCTTCTTTTGTTTGTTGCTTTCATTCGCACCTGCTGCATATGTGATTTCTGCTGTGATCGCATGGCAGTTGACGATAATGAATGAATATACACAGCTCATTTTATTGCTTTTTTATTACTCATCCTATTATGCAATGTTCATCTATAGAAAGCTTGTTAGTACATAACTGGAAGCACACAAACCAAATGTTTGAATGGAGGAGTGAGAGAGATTCTTCTTTATCTGCCCCATAATTTGTGTGACTGACATCCAATTAAAAATAAGCATGCTAAGACTTGTTAATTACAGAGACTGCAGCCACAGACTCCACACACTCACTCAAACACTGTAGGTATGATAGTGCGCCATCTAATCATGGCAGAATTATGTTTAAACTGCGCTGCCCTGAGAATGTGTGATGTTTCTAAGCAACAGTGCATTGCAGCTGAAAAATTAGACCTGAAGTGCTGGGATGAAGAGAGGGCGAGAGAGGCATCTGTTGGAAACAGTTGTGGTCCCTCTGTTGAAGGTGCCAACCTTTCCTGACTCACACTTCAGGCTTTTGTCTTCAGACATTTTTATAAATATGCTCACTTATGTTTAAGACATCACTGTTAAACTCAGATGTTGCTGAGAATAAGATAAGAAAATTAAAATGATTTCCTTATTATAATAGTTGAATCTGCTAGAGGTAAATAATTTGTTTTGGTTCATGGCCCAAGTGGTGACCAACAAGATTAAACAAAATGGTAAACAAAAAGGAAATTGTTTTGTTCTTTTGTAAAATAAACCATTTAATTTGATCCTTAAAAATCTTTGAAGTTATTTTTTTATATATTAGAAACATTAACTGTATAGGCCCAACAATATGCTAAATTATTAACATGACTGAATCAGTAGTGTTAAGTTTATTGTTAACTATGACTAAAACTTTTAAACTTTTAAAAGGAAACTATTAAAACTAAATGATTTAAAATCTATTCTGTTAATTGAAATAAAATAAAATAAAATAAAATAAAATGATTAAATAAAAAACATACTTAAAAATTTGAATTTTTGCCTTGGCAAGTAAATGAAAAAATAAATTGAAGTAACAAAATTTTAAAAACTAAAACTGAAAAATTTAAAAAATAATGACAAAAGGACATACTGTAACACAATTACTAAAACGTAAACAAAAACTAAAATAACAACTAAAAATATAAAAATAAAAACAAATTCAAAATATTAATAAATATTATAATACACTGTAAAAAAAAAAAAAAAAAAAAAACCTGCAATTGTTACTTATTTCTACCTGATATAACCTATAAAAATTAAGTTAATATATTTAGGTTCATTCAGCAATGTTGAAAAAAAAAAAAAAAAAAACGTAAAAATAGGGCACAACTGTATTTATATGAAGGAATTTTCTGCATTGATTTTTACAGGTGTTTTGAATGCTGCACTTTATTGATTTTTTGTTACCAGAAATGTCCATAAAATTAATTGATAATGTCCTGGCAGTTTTTTTGTTTTGTTTTGTTTTTTGTTTTTTGCTTTGTTTTTTGTTTTGTTTTTTTGTTTTTTTTATAGTGTAGTATATAAATAATATAAAGAAAAATATCACTGGACTAAACTGAAAAATTGACTGTTTTGTAAATGTAACTTACAATAAATATGCATGATTGAAAAATAATTTTAATAGTTTTAATAATTAATAATAGTTTTAATATTAGTCTTTCTAATTTTTGAAGATGACATTTTGACAATATAACAAACTGAGCTCAGGTTTGCCAAGATACCAATGTCTGAAATCACAAGTCATAAACTTTTTTAATTTCGCTTCATCCAATAATTCCATGCTCATGATATGAGCCATGCTGTCCGCATTAATTATATAGTTTTATACTTCTACTATATTTAAAAAAAAAAAAAAGTGCCTCATTTTTATGCCTCCTAAGCAATTTTAGGAGAAACATCTGAGGCAAAGTTGATACCTACTAGAGTTGTTGAAAACATATTTCATGTGTCTTGGTCTATGAAGGATCAACTGCTGAGCAATAAAATTGTACTGTGAAACGGGACAAAACGAGCAAGCCACAGTTTTTAAGTCACCATAGAAACACAGACATGGGGCTTAAGACATGACGAACACTGCAGATTGGTAGTTTTTCTTTCTTTTTTTTTTTGCAGGTGACTGTGAAGCAGACCATTTCTGCCACCTCTTGCATTTTCTATCTCCTGCCCCCAACTTACACTCTTTCTCTAAGGCGCCAGGGCACTTGATGCCCTTAGGTGTCTAAGCATAAAGGCTGTGAATAATCAGCAGAAAAATTCTGGTGCAAGCTTTGAGTTTGGCTCCAGTCTCGCTAGTCTACAAGCCCCTGTGAGTTTTTCACACCACCCATCCACTTTAATACAACACCTCGACCAGCCCAGCGGTGCATAATGGCTGTGAAAACGTATCTGGGGAGCGCGTCAGGGCCCACAGTTTTCATTTAAGCTTGAAGGGAGCCGAGTTAATGGCTCAAATGTGCTTTGTCAGTTCCCTTAGCAGGACGCTGCTTCGGACCAAAAGAAGAAAGCAACATTCCTGGTTTTGTTCTACTCGGGCAACTGCAAAATCTCTAGTTCGGGGGCTTTTGTCCGATATTGAAAGAAGTTTGGATTCACTTGTTAGTGCTGCAGGGAACTTTTTTACTTTGAGTCCCGCTCAGCCAGTGGACATCTGTTCAGAGGTATTCAGCTCATATGTACAGTCACACTTTATTCCCTGTTCGGCGCACTGCTGCCAGATGGCAAGGTCCTCAGCACGCAACTCTGCTGTGGGTCGGTCACCATGAGATGTCCTCGATGAGGGAAAACGAGAAAGAGACATCGAGAGTGTCAGCTAAAGTGATACTTCAGTCAAAAATAAATAATCTTTCCTCATTTGCTCACCCTTTTGTTGTTCAGAAATCAGTCTGATTCAAAAGATGGATTTATGAATCAGATCTCACGCCTTTTCTAATGAACACATGATTGTTTGAATTTGATGGATAACAAATAAATACATATAATCCGAATAATGACATAAATGTATTTAATTATTTATTTATTGTAGTATTCTATTTTAAAATATATATATTGTTTTTATTTTAAACAGTATAAGTTAGCTGGAGTTTACAAATTTTACTTACAAAGTTGAGTTTACTTATGAGCTTGAAAAAATCCAAAGTGATTAAATTTTATGTTTTATGTCATCACAAGCTGCTTTTAATTTAATGTTGTTTAAATATGAACATTGTTTAAAACAGATTTTTTTATGTATATAATATACACTAACTTTCAATAGTTTGGGGTCTGTTTTTTTTTTTTTAAGAAATTCACTTTTATTCAGGAAGAATTCATTAGATGTAAAGAAATGTATAATACTACAAACAAACTATTTCTATTCCAAATAAATGTTGTTCTTTTCTTTGAATTTTCTATTTATCAAAACAAATTGGAGAAAAAATTTATCATGGTTTCACAAACATATCGAGCAGCACTTTTTTAACATTACTAATAAGAAGAAAAGTTTGTTGAGCAACTGATCTGACACTGAAGAATGATTGTTTTGAATTGTAATAATATTTCGGTCCACTTTATATTAAGTGGCCGGTTACACTTTATTTTAAGATGTCCTTGTTACAGTGTAATTTAAGTAATGAGTAAGGACACCTTAAAATAAAGTGTTAGGCAAAACACTTTTGCTGCTATTGAGTTGGGATATGGGTAAGGTTAGGGACAGGTTTGGTGGTATAGGTAGGTTTAAGGGTGGGTAAAGGTGTAAGGGATGGGTCAACAGTGTTATTATAAATGTAATTACAGAAATGAATTACAGATGTAATTACATGCAGGTCTTTTTTTTTTTTTTTTTTTATCAATTTATTCAATTTATTATAAAATCGAAATTACCCAACAAGTTGAACCCAGCATTTGGGTTAAAATAAACTAACCCAGCACCTGTGTAAAAATATTAAAAACAACCCAATGAAATTACCCAACAAGTTGAACCCAGCATTTGGTTTAAAATAAACTAACCCAGCACCTGTGTAAAAATATTAAAAACAACCCAATAAAATGACCCAACAAGTTGAACCCAGCATTTGGGTTAAAAAAAAAAATAACCCAGCACCTGGTTCAAAATATTAAAAACAACCCAATTAAATGACTTATCGGGCTGAACCCAGCATTTGGGTTAAAAAAATAATAATAACCCAGTGTTTATTAGTGTAGTAAAATATATAGTAAGTACAATGTAAAAGCAGGTATGTACACAAAGTGCATTCTATCAAATGTTTAATTTATATAGTAGTTAAGGCCACTTAAAATTAAAGTGGGACCATTTTACAATATTACTGTTTTTACTGTATTTTTGATCAAATAAGACATTAAAAGACATCTTACTGACCCCAAACTCTGAACAGTAGTGGATATAACATAGGATATAAATGAAATGAACATGTTCCATGTCTGCATTGGCTCTGGCACCAGCACTCCAGGGCCTGGAGCCTAGTATCCAACTCTCTCTGTAAGTTCTGTGGGCCCTAGCTTTGATTTTTAAGACCCCATCTCAGGTCATGCCGCCTGTGGCTTTGGAGGTCCCTGACAGTGGCCCCACTGGCCTGGTCCATGATCCAGCCCTGGTCCAGAGCCATATATCTATCCCGGCACAGGGTGTCTGTAAACGCCGAGCCATCAACTCCCATCCATTTGTGCTCAGAAACTCTCGAAAACAAGACAGAACGCCTGCAGGCAAAAGAACTGTTGTTGCAACACTCCAGTACTTTGTTCTGCTTGAAATCCATTTGATAAATTAATGTGTTTTTTACATGTTCCCTCATTCTTTTCATACACCATCTCAAATGTGCTATTAATTACCACTTTTTTCTTGTTCTTTTGATCGTTTGTTTCTTTCTCCTTTTTTGTACCAGAACAGGGGCAAACTTGTTAAACTTAGCAAATCCGATTTGAATGAACACTATTTGCATATGCAATTTGCATATTGGCAGTGGGTTTCCCTTGGCTATAAATCTTTCTTATATGGATCTCTCGACTTTTTTATTGCACGCTACATAACAAGAAGTTGATCAGTGGTTCTCCAATGGGAATGTGTACTGCTTCCTACTTTTGAATACTTTTTCATATTTGAAACTTATAAATTATTTTCTAATTTGCACATATACACATATCATCAGACATCACTTTTGAAGAAAGTGGTTGCAGGCACAGAAAAATAAAAATGCATCTTGTGTAATTTCCCTGAAGTGTTCTACAGTTTTACAGATAAATATCGCTCATATGGAAGGCTGATCTCCTTTCCTTATACAAACATTTTATTTTCGCAGGAAGAGTGTTGCATTAATTTCAGCAGGAAAATAGAAATTTTGTTAATAAGTTTCAAACTATAATGAGCTTAATTTACATAGAAAAGAGATGTCTGTAGTGAAAAGAATGACAATGGCTTCATTTAAATACTCAAGCATTACCACCTGGTTAAAATCAATCGTGAATATTTAAGCTGACTTTTTTTGCCTGGAAATGTTTCACACACAAGCGTTGTAACTGTTTATATATATATTTGCCAGGGTTTTTTTTGTTTTTTGTGAGATATATGAGTCTTTTGTTACAGTATATGAGACATTAGCTTGTTTTTTTCAGCAATTAGGTATTTTCATGGTGATTTTCATGCATATATAATAATAATACACAATGCACAGAAATTGTTCTGATTGTCCTGCTTTATTTTGATGTCTGCAACTTTTTCCTTAAGCCCAATTATATTATATTATATTATATTATATTATATTATAGAATATTAGATACATATTGTTTGCATTATATATTAAAGGGGTCATATGACGTTCTAAATAAGAACATTATTTTGTGTATTTGGTGTAATGTGTTTATGCGGTTTAAGGTTCAAAAAACACATTATTTTCC